CAAGAGACGGCCAACCCTGGGTGTCTGTTTATGTTCCATGAAGCGCGATCTTTCAGGACCTGACGAGTCACGACTAGTCAGTGGGAAAAGTCACATGTTAGCCCGGACGTGCCTGGGCCACGGTCCCCCACCGGCGCCCCCTCTTAAGACTTGGGGACTTGAGCGGGCAGGTGGAAGGGTCACCAAGTGACCGCCCCCCGCGGCCCCCCCTCCCCACGGCCGGGTGGCCTGGACTCCTCCTCCTTTTTATTTTTAACAAATCTTCCCCGCCGTCCCTTTCCTTAAAACAAAACCAAAAAAAGGGAGAAAGCCAAACCGTCCAATCAGAAAAGGAAGGCGGCCCGACATTAGCCAATCGAGGAGGGATTAGAAATAGCGGGCGCCGNAGCGCCGTTCCCTTTTCCCTTTCCCGGTTCTGCCGACGTGACCCTTCCGGGATCCCGCTTGCTCAAAGGCGGCCGTCCGCCCTGCAGTCAGAGGAGAATGGGGCTTCGAGCGAGCGAGCGATGGATGGTGGCGCTGAAAGGCGGAGAGACGCTTCGGGGCTGCTGATCGGCTTGGAGCAAGTCCACTGCTGCGCCGATCGCTGCAGTCCCGGTTGGCGGAGCTTCGGGCGGCCTTGTGGCTCCTAAGAAGCGGCGCACTCGCGGGGGGAGGGGCGACGGCCTGGGATCCCGCTTCTCTTGAAGGGAAGGAAGGCACTGAGATCGGCTCGGCTTCGCGACGGGCTTGTTTTCCTGTGGCCCTGTGACAGTCAGCCCCTCCCTGCACCCGCGACGCACTTGTGGCGGATCTCCGGTAGATCTGGCATCAGGCCGTAGTAGATCTGACTGAGATCCTTTGCTTTTTCCTCCTTTTCTCAGGAGATCTGCTTCCCTTCCTCCGCCGCACCCATTAAGAGGCGCGACCTACCTCCAGCAATCTCACGGATCGCCCCGCAAAGAGCTCTCCCAGCCCTCCCTCGCCACAGCTGATCAACGACAACATTCCGCCTCTGCTTGGTAAGGCAAGGGAACCTTCGTTCTGCATTAACACGTCGTTGCTGCGCCTTTTGAGTGGCAGGTTCTCAAGGCAAACCAAAAGAAGGAAAACGCGCGGTCGCTTGCGCGTCCCATCGGCCTGGCTCTTCTCGTCAGTGACAGTTCTGGGCACACGAGGCTAGAACCATCGGTGGCCGCTGCTTGTGGTGTCACTGCCACATAATCTTCGGGAAGGCTTTCCTCAAGAGAGTCAAGAGAGACGGAGCCACTCTCCAAGGCGAAGGACTTCCTGATCTTGCCGGTGGGTGTTGGTGCCCGTTGGGCGTGCCCTCTTCTTCTTCTTCTTCTTCTTCTTTTTTTTTGGTAGTGCTAATCACATAGTTTATGGAGAAACAAGTGCTGCTATAAATCGAAGAGTACTTGGCACTACTTTCTTCCTCAGTCCCTAAAGCTAAGTGATTCAGGCTGGAGATGTGTGAAGAAGCAGAAGTGAGCACTTGAATACATTTTGTAGCTACCCAGTGGCTAGAGCAGGTACAATCCCTTGAACTAAGAACTGTAAAAGCTTGATCCATTTCGGATTGCTCTCCTTTTAAGCTGAAGAAGCCCAGTTTCTTCCTGTTTTCTTTTACCGCGCAATGTCAAATAACCTGTTTTTCTGAATGTGTTCAAGGCACAGATCGCGGAGGAGGGAGCGGAAGGTTCTAGCTCAGAAAAGCGATTCTTGAGAGTTAAAACGGGATTTTCAGAACAGAAGCCGGGGTTGGATTGGGAGATCAATGGAGGGATTGCTCAGCTGCCGGCTCCCAGGCAGTGTTTCGGCATCTGAAATGGGTGGGAGCGAAGTAGGTGCTTAATGTAGAAGCAAAGGCCTGAAAGGTCTCCTCCCTCTTCTCTCAAATTACGAGTGACAGTGGTTCTTCTCTGCTTTCTTGTCCTCCTTTTCGTTCTCTTGCCTCCTTCTGCCTATTGGAGCACATCCAAAGCAGGCTTTAGTTTATTGTTCATAGTGTTTAAAGGCCCAGCTGCCTTCCTCTCAAACCTTTACATTTTGCTCCCTAATTTTCTGGCAAATTTTACTTGGCAGCCTTGAGTCTTTTTATTGGGAGAAAGGAGAGATATAAGTAAAATGAATCAATTAAATAATCTATCCACTGCCTACCTTGAATGCCCTTCCTCTGATCTCTCTCTTGTCAAGAATGTATTTATTATTTTGGATATATTTATTGTACTGAACCAGTAGGGAAACCTTAGATATGTGTTTGTATTAACTCTTGTGCTTTAAAGAGTATGGTAAGCACAAACAACAGCAGAAATAAGTTCTGCCAAGGATCTTTAAAGAATTGGGGGGGGGGATTCTACTCATGTTGAAAGGAACTTACATTTATTATTATACTTTTAAGTCCAGAGCATTCTGGAGCTTAAGCATTCTTAGTGCCACAGATCATATCTTGCCAGTGGAGGGGTAGGACTGTAATACAATTACCTTTCTTCTGCTAATTAAAAAATTAAGCCTAGAGTGCTTATAGAGATTGCAGATGTTATATGTAGGTGAGAGATAGGAAGAGAAAGCAAGGAGAGGGCTGGGACTGGCTTTGAGTTTCACAGAAACAAGCAGTCATTCTTAGGATACACACCAGCGGTCAGTTAAGCAGCCATCTTAGTTCTATTGCTAAACCTCAGCCTCACCCTGACTTCATTTCCCAAAGTGCTGCATCCAGTCTCATTCTGGCTGTTCTTGATTCTGTAGCTACATTTGTATTATTTCTGCTACCAGAAGAGATGTGATCGGCACACATTTTTGCAATGAGTAGACTCAACTCACCATCATATGATGCAGTAATTGCAGGGCAAGGCTTCCAGATGTTGGAATATAACTCCCACCATCCCTAACTGTTTGTTAGGGCTGATGGGGGGGGGGTAATAGTTGAACAATATCTGAAGAGCTACATGTGCCCAACCCCTCTTGCTGTAGGACATGTGGTAGCTTACTGTTCCCTGCAATACATCCATTCATCCATCACCCCTTAAGAAAAGTGGGAACAACTGGAAATTAGCTGAAGTTTCAACTGGTTCTGCTCATCATGACTATGGTTAGGGATGCATCTAAGAATTTATGGGATGATACATGTGGGTAAAATGAGGCAATGCCAAAAGAGTGCAAGTCCTGGTATTGTTTTATTTAGAACTTACCTGATCCAGCAAATATTGTCAGGCACTTAAGCCAGTGCCAGACAGGTTTGAGGTTAGATCAGAGTATGACTGGCTAATGATAGCTGACTTTTCAGTTCAAGAGCAAGAGGAAAAAAGCTGACCCAAGCCATTTCAGTGTCCGAGGCAACAACCAATATACTCTTTCTCTGCTATTTTCATCTACAGAAGTACACTGGATTGACAGTTCCATTTTACTTGAATCAGAGTTTGGAAAGATTCATTATTTGGATGACAGCTCCCGGAATTCTTCAGCCAGTGATGATGCTGGTAATGTGATTGGGGGAGCTGAACTAAAGCTACAACTGCCACCTGTGATTTTGAATCGGAATGGGACAGCGTCTTTGGCCCTACTTGAAGGCAGTAGGTGAGAAGCCACAATCTGATACAGACACAGCCCTGTCAAGATCCTACCTGGTGTCTAGCGTAGTTCTCTTGTTAAGGCTTGTTCTGGGGTAAACTGAGAATCTGGGAGTGAAGATTTGGCTACACTGCAAGATGCTCCTCCTGTTAATTGAGATTTAGCATGATGCAAATCTATTCAAAATTCCCCAACTACACAATATTATTGTAAGTGTGCGGGGGGAACTCACACTTTTCTTCAAGGGATCATTTCTTTTTAAACACCTGTTGGGAGGTTGTATATTTTAAATCACTTTACACTTAAAAAAACCTTTTTCACATAGCTGTGTGAATAGCTATGTCATTGTATTGTATGTGTGTGGGCATTCCCAATGCTGACATCTTGATGACGAGGTGGTGTGGAATGCTGTCCCACTGGGAAACCAGCAATTATGCCTGCTGTCTGAAGTATTTAGCTTTAATTTTTTTTTTAAAAAAATAAACTATTCAACTTTAGTGCTGCACCACATAAGTGCTAGCTTGTTATTGACATGTGGTTTGCCTCTCAGCAAAATATAAACTTCAGACAAGATAGCTATGGATACAAACAGAATGCAGGCAAAGTCAGGACAAACCCATGGGTGGATCAAAGTGCCAAGCCAGGTCTATTTGAGATGATTTAAAGAGAAGAGGTAGCTGAAGAGCTCAGTGGTTGAGTTATCTGGCTGTGGAGTCAGAGGTTGAAAGTTTGATTCCTAAATTAAATGATTAATTTTGGTGTACCATCTTTGTCTCTTAAAAAGTTAATTTGTGGCTTTGATTTCCTTTTCCAGATACACTCTGGAAAACTTTTATTACTATACTTGAAATTTTTTTCATCAGTATATTGTAGATCCCTACCTGTGTTATTAATTTCCATTGCTTTCCATTCTGATCTTTTCTGCTCTAAGTGCCTTAGATGTGAAGAACTGCCTGTTGTTTTGTGTCCTTGTTGCAATAACTGCATATATGAACTTCAAGAATATCTAGGTTTCATAGACTTTTTTCATCATATGATTTAATATGCTAATACAGTGGCATGCTATCACAACTTTAAGAATTTTGCAGATAATTTCTCCTGGCATATCAGGAGTAGAATTTTCTCTTCAAAACCACCCTGTCCTCATGATGCTCCTGTGTGTAGTGAGGCACTCCCTGTATTTGAAACCAAGAAGATAATGCATTAGGCCAGGGAAACAGATTGTACGTGATTTCAAAGAGTAGCTGTATTAGTCTATGCAGGTATTTTCAGACAAAATACACACTGTACTGGCAGTTAGTCTTTCAAGTATTAATCATCTTCTTCTGGTTTCAGTTTTGTCTCTAAAGAATTGTGTCTAGTCTTGGCAATGAATCACTGGAAGAATACCTTGACTGGTGAAGAATCAGGTAGCACTGTTTCTCAGACTCTGGGCATCTTTGAAATTGTTCAGGTAAGTAACAACAACAACAACATTCGAAACTACATTTGTGGCAGCTGTTGTTGTAGTTATTTGTTGATGTATTTTACTGGTACAGTGCCAGTAAAATACATTACACATTAGATTTTAATCAGTCAAAGCCAGACAGGTTCGTGCCTTCCATAAAGCTTACAATCAGAAACAGAACACAGAAAAGCAGATGTCAAGATAACATGAGACTGATGTAGGCATTGATATCTGGGCTACCATTGACTCTCCATTCATTGTTAGGTTGCCACTCCAGTTACCATTATCCATGCTGGCTGGAATTGATGAGAGTTGGTTCCTCATTCCTATTGTGGGAGGAAAGGACCTGTCTAATATTTACAAATGAAAAGTATGTGCATTTCAACCTTGTTTACCTTTGGAATGAGGATGAAGTAGTTTACAGAAAAGGCAAATGAGGAAGAGAGATGTTAAAGAAAATGGAAAATATTTATATTATCAGGAATTGTTCCTTGTATCAATCTGTGCGGAACCATAGAGGCTTATTACAGATTACTGTGTTTTGCTGATGGATCATTAATCACTTAGTGGTTTCTATCACTTATTGTATGATGATGCCTGCTCGCAACAGGAATCGGAAGGGGAAAAACATATAGTGAAAAAGTGGGCCAGTGTTTATGTAAATCAGGCCAGAGCCAAGCCTACCATTATATAGAGTGAGGTGTCTGCATTATAGGGTGTCTGCATTATAGTAAAAATTTCATAACCAATTTTTACTTTTGTTTGTTTTTAATGGAGGCAGTAAGTCAGAAAAGCCAAGTTTTACACAAACAAGATTTTGTTCTACGTTTCCTTTTCTTCCTTCCTCCCTTCCTTCCTAGTTTAACTGCAAAAGATCATAACACTTCTTTAAGGCTTTGTGGACCCCTTGTGAGGACATTGCAGCTGCCCAGGGGTCTGTGGACCATAGGTTAAGAACCTAGGGGATAAACCATTTGCTCCAATAAAGATCCATTAGGTGGTTAGGTGGTTCCTGATATATACCATGTAGAGATGTAATCTCATTTGTTGAGGAGAATGGCTGAAGTGCTCTTTGACTTTTCATGAAAAGTGGGGGATATTACTGCTGGCCAACTGATTTCTTTATACTGAGTTAAGATATATATACCAAACAATTGAAACTGTGTCTCCAACCTCTTTACCATTTAAAATATACACATACACCCACATTTAAATTTTAAGGAAAGCTTTTTTCTTGTGCTCAGACTATGACTGGATTTAGAAATAAAACTGTATTTTTTGCAATACACTAATTTTCTTTCCAGATAGATTATGAATCAGTGCCCACCTACCTGGTGAGACAGCAATGATTTAATGTCCATAAATGAATCACAAGCTACTATTGAGATGATGGATCTCAAGTAAAGAGCAGCACAATCCCATAATATCTACATAGAAGCAAACCCCAATGAGTTCAGTGGAGTTTAATCCCAGGCAAGTGGATGTAAGATTCCAACTTTAATTTCTAAACCCAGAAATAAGGCACAAAGTTTAATCAGTAGTGAAAACAAGAGATCCATATATTTGAAAGACAAGCTACATTGTTAAAGTTGTATTTTTATTTTTATTTACTGTTATTGTTATGTGACAATATTAATAATGAAAAAGAGGAAAAACAGCACAAGATTGTCTCTATAGCATATCTTAATACTGTATATAATCTAGCTCTTTGGTGTTTTGTGATATTTCTGGTTCCAGACAGGTTCTTTCTTGTTCAAGAAAGCAAACAGAAAATTTGTGGGGTGATTTCAGAGGGATTAAGGTATCCTTTGATCTTTCTGGATGATATGCCATTACCATAAATAAACTGAACTCAAATAAATTACAGACTTCTAGTGCCAACTAATTTCACCATATATTTAATATATAACAAGCATAACTGTATAATTTGACAGTATAATTTACATATGGGCCATCCTTTCTATGAGACAAAATGAAGTGGCTGTCTTAGATAGAACACGAAGGCTTGGAGTGGTGATGAGGTGTTCCAAGATAGAGTTAAAGATGTTACACACTGCACTTTCTCCTCCCCAATGCTGTTGCCATCCAATGTAGTGCACACAGTCAGTCTTGATTCAACTACTAGTTGGGTCGCTTTCTGTAGAAGGGTGAGAGGAATCTTGTCCTTTGCCTCAGACAACAAAATGACTTGAGTTGCATGATTAATATCTTCAGTCTCCCATGCTTCCTTCAGTGATGTCAGTGTGGGTTATATCTAGGTAAGTATCAGTGAACAGCTGATTTTGGATGCAGCAAAGTGGGTACTTGTATTTCCCCTCCAATCTAACATTTTAGGAATTAAGAAGTGCCTATTTAGGTACGGAGTGAGTCCTTACTAGGAAAACTGCTGAGTTATAGCACCACCCTATACCTGTCTGCTCAGAAGTAAACGCCATTGAGTTCAGTGGGAATTGCTGTCAGGCGCATGTTCATAGTAGAAGTAGGCAATGTGTTGCTTTCCAGATGTATTGTCCTGAAACTCCCATAATCGTCAACCAGTGGCAATGCTGGTTGGGGTGGGGGTGGGGGCAGAAGTGGTAAGATCTTTAGTTTCAGAAAATAGAACAGCAGCACTAGGCTATAAGGAGGGGGGCTAGTTTTAAAATATTTTACCAAGGCTTTCCTTCATGATTTCTAAATTATTTCATATTACCTTACGAAGGCTATCATTTCATACTTTCCTTCATCAATAAGTGCTCCATTGAACTCCTCAAGAAAAAGCAAAGAAATATGTTTTGTGAATATAAAAACCAAAGCAACATGACTTTAGTGTCTCTCACCGTGAGAATACAGGTTAGCATCTTTATATTTCTCCCCAGAGCTGCATTTCAAGACATGTTCATACTTCACCTAGTGAATACTTACCCTGCCCTCAACAACAACAACAACAGTAGCACCACATGAGCAATTTGAAAGCAGAAACAGCACAAGCAATAGGAAACAACAGAAACCAAATAACAGAATCAGCACCCTTCAGTAAAAGACCTTTTAAATGTCCATATTATCTGAGCAGATAATAAATATTTTTACCTAGAATGGCCTGAAAGATAACCAAGCCTTCTGTTGGTGCCTTTTCCATTTGTGGCTATTTTTTCCGATAGAGGAAGCATGCAAATATAAAATAATCATCATAGTATTATTTCTGAATATGAGCTACATATTCTGATGTGGCTACAAAAAAGGGCAAATGCTATTTTAGGCTGCATTATAGTTTCCAAATCCCGCAAGGTGCTAGTCCCTCTCTGTTTATCATTGGTTAGGCTTTACCCTGACTATTGTGTCCAGTTCTGGACACCACACTTTAAGAAGGATGCTAACAAATTGGAACAAGTTCAGAGGAGGGCGACAAGGATGATCAGGGAGCTAGAAACAAAGCCTTATGAGGAAAGGCTGAAAGAACTGGGCATGTTTAGCCTTGAGAAAAGAAGACAGAGGGGTGATGTGATAACACTTTTCAAGTATTTTGTCATACAGAGGAGGGGCAGGATCTCAATCATCCCAGAGTGCAGGGCACACAGTAATGGATTCAAGTTACAGGAAGCCAGATTTCGATTGAATATTAGGAAAAATGTCCTGTTAAGAGTAGTAAGACAATGGAACCAATGATTTTGAGAGGTGGTGAGTGCTCCAACACTTGAAGGCAGTCAAGAGACATTTAGACAACCACCTGGCAGATATCCTTTGATTTATATTCTTGCTCTGAGGGTGGTGGTGGGACTCAGTGGCCTTATAGACCCCTTCCAACTTTACTATTCCGTGATTCTGACCTTATTAACAAGGTCTGGACTGGGTTATTTCTGCCTGTTCCTCCAGAGGGGGAGTAAGGGGGCAGGGTCAAGCAAGATGCACGTGGAGAGAGGCTGACCGGAGGATTTTTCGCTTGTGCAATGCGATTTGCCTGTGGAAGGCATCTTGCAAAGGCGGCACATTTTGCTTTGGCTTTCCCTTGTTGCCCCCCCCAATAACGTTAGTCCAAACATTTCAATCAGATCCCTCCCGAAGGTAACGAGCCACCTGGTGGTGCCCAGCCTCTTCAGCCAGGTCTAGCGGGCGGTGGCCCCATTTGTCCGGCAGATCGAAGCAGGCACCTCCTCGGCGCAGGGCCCGCAACGTGTCCAGGAACCCCGCGCGGGCCGCGTCGTGAGCCGGTAGCGATCCGGTTGTAGGGTCCGGTAGGTTGGGATCCGCTCCTCCCTGTAGCAACAGCTCCGCCATTTGGGGGCTCCCCATCATCATCACCTGGGGGAGATGACGCCGCGTTAGGAATATTTTGAAGTTTTCACTCTACACTTCAAAGCGTCCCTTTCCAACAAACAACATACTGATTTCTATCGGAGTTGCTCCGGATTATTGGGAAACTTTTTATGCTGACGCGTGTATTATTTCCTGAATGGCTGTAGTTTACAGTAATTTATACTGAGCCGTGTCGTATAGGCAAAAAGTTTCAAAGACAAGCTTATTGCCAATTTGGATAATGAATGTCAAGGCGGAGGAAACCTTCCGGAATGTTCCCAATCTGCTGGCATTGTTAGGTCACCTAATCGCCTTTCATGATCCCCATTTTCCCCCGAAGAAAGTCCCTTCGGAAAGACATTGTTTCCGAAAACCGGCTTTGTGGATCGCTTTTGGTGGTGGTGGTGGGGACGTAGACCAGCATTTCTGGCCCTGCCCCCGAAGGGACTGGGAGGTTAAACAGTACTCCTGCCTTGGTACCGTCGTCCAGGGGGATCCTAAAAGCCGAGTTGGATAGGAGCGGCCAACGGGCACTGGGATCGAGACTGCGTTCTCCTCACCGGGCCAATCCCAGTTTTTGCACAATAAATTATTTTCTGAATCTAGCGGAGGAATCCTTTTGGAGTCTTAAGTCAGGACTTCATAAGAGAGAGCACTTCCTTTGGTGCCGCCCAGAAAGCTTAGGGTAGTCTGAACACAACTGTCCCATTAGGATGACCAGATGAGAAGGTGGGTCTAATAGTTGGTTAGGGAAAAAAAAAATCTGGTGCAGCTTTTAATGCAAGGTCTACTTGCTGACATTTCCTCCTCCACACAACTGTTAAAGGGACAGGAGCCCCATCTTCTTTTAATCTTCTAAACTTAGAACTGCAGAGCTGGAAAGGACCCTATGGATCACCCCAGTCCAGTTCCTGTTGAGGAGGCACAGTGGGGAATCAAACTCCCAACCTCTGCAGCCAGATTCCTATATATATATAAAAACTCCATGAATTTTTCAACACTGGAGGCTGAAACTCTTCTAGGTAACCTAGGGAGTCCCTCCAGCATCAAAACACATATGCTCGAAGTGCATAAGAGACCAACTGTAGAGGGGTGGCTGTAGGAATCCTCTCTACCTCATGGTGAATATACTTCAGCACTGTTTCTCCGCAGTGGAAAACATGCCTCCAAGCACCTGCATCTGAAACAGTGAACTGGAACTCTTTGGCCAACCAAGATGCCACAAGACTCCTTGTTGCCCCTGCTCCCACGGGACAACAGCTGGAATCCTAAATGGGTACAAAGCCAAGAGCCTGGAGCAGTTACTTTTCTGAACCCCACTTCCTAGAATTCTCCCTGCCAGCATGTGTAGACCAAAAAAGTAACTTTTCCAGGATCAGACAAACCTCCACGAATGATTATGTTGGGTTAATAGGGAGGAAAAGGAAAATATTATAAGAAGCAAGCAAAAGTGAGGAGCAAACCCTTAGCAGAAAATGAAGGAGCAAGCAGCAAAGAGACAAAGGCTGAAATCTTGTCACTTAACGTAGTAAATTACAAGAAGGGTAGGCTATTCGAATCAGTGGAACTTACAGAGGAGCTGACTTACCAAATTCCCACCGATTCAGTGGGCTCATTCTAATGAGTGTTACTACACCAAGCAACAGGATTCCAGCCAGAGCAGAGCTGGTCTCATCAAATTCAAATATTGATGCTGGATGTTGTAGAAATAAATGCCTGTTTACCAAGAGTCTGGATCCACAGATGTGTTTTAGATCGTTTTTATTAGAGTCTTTTAAAACATAGATTGTTTGCTCAAAGGGCTGGGGTAAAATCTGATGTTAAAGGAATAAGGCATCGATCCCTTAGAGGGGTGGTGACATTGGGAAGATTTTTTTAAAGCAACTTAAACAATAATTTTAACTCTGACCTTAAAGGAAGGAAACTCAGAACAATTCTTAAAATTGGTATTTCACAGTTTTACTTGGTTAAATGTTTCAAACGTTCCAACTCCTGCCAGGCTGAATTGTAGTGTTGCTCTGAAGCAGGCTGGAGGGAAGATTGAAGGAGGAGATTAAATTAGAAACCAATTAGGCCTAAAAGTGCCTCCTTTGCTCCAGCCTGGAGTCCCTGATCCTTTAATACTTTGCATTGCACGGGCTTAGCTGAAGTCCTGTCTTCCATGACACCTGGCCACTCCAGACTAGGAAATGGCTCAGACATCATGGTAAGAACAGGGAAATCCCTATCAGGAATTCATCAGAGGCAGGCACCTCCATCTCTCTCTCTGCTCTTCTAGTGTGTGTTGCTGCAGTGCTACACTATACAAAAGTCTTCAAATATTTAGTCAGTTAATTAAAATGGTTGCTCACTGTGTTCAGAATTGGAAATTGTACCCAAGAAAGTGAAAACAAAAGGAAGAAGACTTTTAGCAGTTAATGCCATGTATATATCAAGTTTGATTGCTCTTATGGGGTCTGCCTTCTGGTAACTAGCACTTCCAAGAGAGTGTACATCCCTTAATCCTCCCCCAAAGAATGCTATCACCACCGTCACATCACCATGCTGTTCTTGATACAATAGAAAACAACATACACTTGATCTCTGCTCAAAAATAAATAATGCATATTACATTTGGTGATTTTTCAATGGGAAACACCTGTTCACTCCTGCATCTCATGTGAGAATGAGTAGGCACCAAAACAATGTATTTAAACAAGCTTACAGTGAGATCCTAAAATGCTTACTTAAAAGTAAGCCCACTGATTCCAGCATGGCCTTTTCCAAACAAGATCCCACTTGTCCAAATGATCACAAAGAACAGGAGGACCATAATCTCCCTTTCTGGTGTTCAGAATTGTGGGGATTTGCTTAAATCTCCAATAGATGTGTAACAGATGCCCAGCAGATAAGACTACAATAAGCAAGACTTTCCCTCTCTAGTTCAATGGCAGTTCCACCCCTTGTGATTTTTTCCCATTCCCAATTCAGAAAACCCACCACCTCATAAAGATCCAGATTGCCTCCAGTTATTACCAAGATGAATAACTCAATTCCGTGTGTGTGTGTGTGTGTGTGTGTGTGTGTGTGTGTGTGATCTCTAAACCACATATCCAAGTGTATCTGCATAAAGTGGAGGAGGGGGCAATGTCTATTCACGCCTATGGATTCTTGACCTGACTGTGGTTTTACTTGTGTATATTTAAGGAAATACAGCGTTTAGCTTTGGTAGGGGAGAGAAGTGCCCCCCACCCGCACACCTCTATTTAGATGTTTTGGAACTACTCTTCAACACAAGGGATTTGTGATGAGAGCAGCACCTTTTTGAAATGCTAAACATTTGGAGTTTTGTGTGGTGGCTAGGATCAAACTAGTGGAACAGTCAGTTGTCCAAGATTTAAATCAGAAGCAGAAAACTTTGGCTTTAAAAATTGTTTTCTTTTTGCCTACAACTCCCAGCTGTAGCACAGCACAGGTAGCACAGCAATGGTGACAGACATGATTCTTGCTGGATAGGCACGAGTAGCCTCCCCCTCTTTTAAACAGTACACACACCACAAACCCATCTTCCATAATGTACTGCCTTCAAGATGTTTGAGACTACAACTCCCATCAGTTCCAGACAGTGCTGAGCACTGCAACTGTGACAGGACTCCCTAACAGGACTGTACCTACAAACAAGCCCTCAAACCTAACAGTCAGCATGAGGAAGGGTGGCAGCTATCGTGTCTCCACCCCCAAAACACACCTTGAAGGTGCCAGGTTCAGGGAAGCCTTCATAACCTTTCTTCTCCTCCCCTTCCTCTTCTTCTTCCTCTACCTTTCTATGTGTTTTGGCCCATGTAGTTGAAGGCTTAGGGCAAAAATTGTGAATCTGAGAAGCCCCAAATCTTACTGATTTTCTTTCAGATGAGTTCTATTCATTCCAACAATGTATTTTCAAGTAAGAGGCTTACTTGGTGCTCCCCACACTCCCAATTAAATCTTGTGGTTTACAACAGAAGCTTATTTCTAAGCAAAAAGGAGGATTGTAACATTCGGATCAAAACCAGGAACACCCACCTATCAATATAATCCTAATGGACAACATAATGGGAAAAAGTGAACAGAGTACTTCTTGTACTTTTAATAGTTGCGTGGGGTCAACCATTTCAGCAGATGGATCTTATATAAAAAGCTCCAGCTGCCCATTTTCTTCTTCTAAGTTACTATTAAAGTTACAGGAAGACTGTCCTCTCCTTTGTAAAAAAAAAAAAGATCACCCTAAATAGTTTTTTACCAGCAGCATATCGTCTGTCTTATTCACTTAGAAGTTTTAGAACTGCAGAGCCGGAAGGGGCACTGGGGATGATCAAATCCAGCCCCTATCAAGGAGGGGAAATCGAACTCCCAGTCTCGGGCTCGGCAGCCCGTGACGTAAACCACTGGCCACTCTGAATCAGAAAGGATTTCTTCAAACCCTCTCACTGCTTCAAGTCGTAAACGGTACATGACGTGCTCTGGGCCTTTCACTTTCTGGGAGAGCAGCGACTCCAGGACATCTGCTCTTCAAAGCGCTGAATTTTAATCCCTCTAGTTCCAACTACAGGGGCTTAAAAAGTGTTATCAGTACTGAAAATAAAAAAAGGAAGGCTAGTTGCAAGCGATTTCTCTTTCCCTCCAGTCGCTTTTTCAATCAGCTTTCCCCACTGATGCAAGAGATGAGTAAGACTGAGGTTTGTGAGTTCCAGCTTTTAGTATGTCTCCAGGCTTTTGTCGGTGATATTGCCTTTTTCAAGAGACGCCTGGCGGCAAAGAACCTATTCCACTGAAAGAACAGGTCTCGGAAAAGGCTTCCCAACGAACTGAACGCTGAAACCCGGAGACAGCTAGCTAGTCAATCTAAGCGGACCGAACTCCACGGGAATGGCTTCTGCGTAGCCCACCCTCAGCATGGCCCTCCAAGGCTGCAGTCCTCGATGCTCCTAACTGGCACTACGCCTCGTTGAACTCCTTCAACGAAGAGTCTTACGACACCTTGAAGAGCAAACTTTATCTGGCTTAAGCTTTCCTGACGTCCCGCTCAGAAGATATCTGATATGCTACCGAAGAAGTGGACTGAAACCCAGGAAATTAGTTATGTGCCCTTAAGTCGGCACCTACCTCGAGGGACCCTAATAGGGCTTTCAATCTAAATGAGCTATTTAAGGAGTGGTTTTTATCAATTCCACTCCCCCAGTGAGCTTCCATGGCTGAGCAAATTCGAACTCGCATCTCCGGAGTCCTCGTTCTTGACTCTACGCACTACGCCAGGAACGCTTATGCCACATGGAACTGGTGGTTTTTACGGCACAGAAAACGTTATCATAAAACTTATCCTACGTATAAAACCTACTGGTCTTCAATAAGTGCCTGAACAAGGCTTGCGCCAAGTAAACGGTGCGGTCTTTCAGGTGCCACTGGACTCCCAGTTGCTTTTGCTGCAGCCCACTAACGCGGCTGTCTCCTCTGAGACGGAACGTGGCCATTACTTTCCCCCGCGAGCAGAGTTGCTCAAGATGGCTCTGCCCTCTTTTTTCCTGCGAGGTAGCTGCGCTAGTCTGTTCCCGCATGCAGAGCTGTGCCCGAGGAAAGAGATTATGATCCCCCCCCCCGCAAAGTCCCACCGAAATGAATCGGTTAGGCTTTAAGGTGCAGCTACTGTTTTCTTTATATTTGTGTATTCTTATAAAGGATCTCTATCAGAGTTCACCGGAGAAGGCGAGCCGTTTCACACAGGAGATCGTTGACCTGCGCGCCGGACGCGGACCCGGAGCCGGTTTGTCTCCATGAAAGCTCTTCAGAAGATGCTTCCTCTGGTTTCTGAAAGAGGGTTTCCGGCGCGGATGCCTCTAAAGCACTGGTTCTTAACCTTGGGTTACTCAGGAGTTTTGGACTGCAACTCCCAGAAGCCTTCACCACCAACTGTGCTGGCTGGGGTTTCTGGGAGTTGCAGTTCAAAAACATCCGAGTAACAAAGGTTAAAAACCACTGCTCTAAAGCACCTTTCAAAGATTGCTCTCACGGGGCGGAATGCTACAGATCGACGAGGAGGCTCCTTTTTATGTATTACGCATAGCCTATGTGTATTCACCTTAATAGTTTCATTCCCAAAACAAACTAACATTAGACTGTGATTTAACGACAGGTTCGACAAGCATGGTGGCCGGGCGGGGATTTAAACCAGGTATTCTGCCCTTTCTTAGTCCCAGCTCTAACCACTGCACCACGATGGCCTTTTGCGCCGGATCTGGGAGTGATCTAGTCTCGGACCTTGGATTCGCAGTTGCTTTCCTCTGTTGGAGCTACGTTTAGATTTGTTTGAAAACGGATTTTTGTGTGAGAGAGACCGGATGGATAGCCTTGCTGCCAGGCTTGGGAAGACCGAAGAGGGGAAGTCAGTTCAGCTTCTGGTTGCTTTGGATGTTTGGGATCGGGGCCGGGCATTGGTTAGTCTTACTCTCAGGTCGGTCTGGACACTATCGCAGGCGTAGTGAAAAGTAGGCGAGGCGGGCAAGGGCCTCTCGCTGGACAGAGCTTCGCCATGGTCGGTCCCAAAGCCAGGAAGGTATTTTTAAGTCGTGGATGATCCTGATTCCTTTTGCACTTTTGTATCAGGGCCGGGGAACGGTAGGGCTGCCTATCCCAGCATCCCCGGTCACTGGGCGCTGTGGCTTGGGATGGAAGCCGTCGTCCCCTTAAGGTCTGAAGGGTCGTGGGCTCCCTTCCCTAGACTTCGCGGGGGAAATCACAGCCCTCCTCCGCCTCCCTTAAAACCTACGTGGATCTCTGGCCTCCCCTCCCCAACCCACCTGGATCGGGGTCCTGCCGAAGAGATTGGCCGCGTTGGGGTCCGTCCCGCTCTCCAGCAGCCTTCTTACGGGCTCCAAGTCCCCGCGGGCAGCGGCGTTCGCCATCTGGTGCGCCCTGCCTTCCTCCCCACCTGCATCCATGCTCGATGACGGGCGATTATGAGCGCTCTAGGAGTGAGGCTGGAGCATTCGCCGTGCCAGATCCCGGGGCTTTTCTTCGGCACTGGGAAGTCCACCGCCCTCGCAGGATCCACGAACCAGACGATCAAGTCCGGCGATCTCTGCTGCTTCCGCCGGGATCCCCAGCCCCTCGTCCGGAGGGATCGTGCAGCTTCACCTCTCCTCCCCTGCCTCTTTTCTCTCTGAGCTTCTCTTCTCGATCCCACTTTCTGCACTTCAAAACGGCCACGAGACACAACAGGGACACCTTTTCTCTGTCCAAGGGCTGGTTTCGCCTCTTACCTCCTCCTCCTCCTCCCCCCCTCGCAGGTCTGTCAGCTGCTCTCTGGCTCCCTCTCTCGGTTGCCGACGTACGGAGCCTCGAGAGCGCTTGTGTCCGGCAGGTTCTCTGGCTCCTCGGCCCGCTAACTCGAATGCTGTCGCTCGTAGAACGCTCCATTTTTGGAACGTTCGCTTGACGTTCGAGCGTTCCATAGATCAGGCTGGATGAAAGCGGAGAATTCTAGCCAATCAGTGAGGTGATCTATCTGTGTCTCTTCTACATTTACTTTAATATAGAGCAATAAACGTTATGATAATTTACAACTGTGCTCCTTTGCTTCTCCCACTCCCGAAAATTTTCTGAGGAAATGTTTACTTCTTTCTCTTTACCATATTGTGATCTCTCCCCCCCACCCCGAATTATTCTGTAGCGCCTTAAGAACGAACAATTGTGATCTGGCTCAAACTCCCAACACCTAGCTCCTCAGCCAAGTACCTAAATCACTGAGCCGCTTTGTTTTTAAGACAAAGAGAATCTGTTTTGTAGCCACAGAGAATCTCTGTTACAGGGCTATATTCTGAGGTGGTCTGAGCAGGGTGGGCACCTCACCAAAATTTTGGGGCAAGGCATATGCTCTTTGGATCTTGGTATGTCCGTAAGTTTACTCCCTGTCTATCGCCAACACTCACTTGGGGCTGGAGATTTTCACAGTGCACGCCTCCTTAAGAGCTCTCCCTTATGTACAAAGAAAGACAACGACTATGGTGCAACTCAGTGCAGGTAAGTGATGAAAGATGTGGCCATTCCTTCTGACCTTGACTGCCAGAAAGGATATTCACTTTGCCTCTAAAGTCAACTTTTTCAGCATTACCCATTGTGTAGTACTGTAAAGCAAGGAGTTACGGTCAGTTCTGGTTTCCCTGGCATGTGTTTACACTTTACATCACAAGTGGTCAAGGGGGTCCACATTTGTGGAATGGCTCCCTTCCCCTTTGGCCTGCTGACCACCTCTCCGTTTTGGCCCTGTTATTAACAGCAGGGAAAGGACAATCTTGATAAGGATGTGTGTTGGATCTCCCCTGCATGCAATCTCAGTCTTGGTAGATGCATGCATTTACATGTTAAAATGGAAACAGGAAAAAAGAGCAAACATAGCAATAAGAGCCACTCCCACAAAGCACCTAGCAATGCTGTCACCACTGAGCAATAGTAGTATTTCCCCTGAAATTCAATGGAAACACAAACAGAACCACTCTGCAAACAGCCACCTGTTTACCAGGGAGAATGCCTGTGCCACCACCCAAATAAGGAAGCAGTGACATTGTAGTCACAAGGACCAGCTGGCAATATGGGCTGAGGAGGGGGGGGAGCACAGGAAGACCTCCTAGGAGAAAAGAAATGTTTTGGACAGAGTTTGGAAAAGTTACTTTGAGGGACAATAGTTCCCAGAACCCCCAGTTGCCATGGTGACAGGGGTTCCAGGGACTGATGGTCCACACAGGAAACATTTCCTAGCTCTGGGACTGGGGTCCTAAATTGGAAACATGACCTCTATGAAGGTATGATCTTGAAGAGTTAGAGTGAGAACATTCCAAATCACAGAGCATCTGCACCTCTCTCTGCAGACTGAATCTGAATACATGCATTTGCTTCCAAGGGGCGAGGCTTCTTGTTTGTTTCAACTCCAGACACTGAACATTTATGAGCTGGACAAGCTCAGACATGTCCTGTATGTGCCCTGTATCATGACAAGCCCAGGCATGCCCTTGCAGATGTTACAGCCCACAGAATGATGGCTACACCCTGCAATCAATTAGAGATTTCTATAAATATATAGGAGAGGGTTTTTTTTTGTTAAGACTTTTCAGTCTTCATAATGGACAGAGAATTTCCCCCACCCTCCAGCACAGGTTTTATTCTAGCCTAACCTCCTGTGGAAGGGAGTTCTAAATTCTTGGAGCAGCGACAGAGAAAGCCCTCTCCTGTGTCCCCACCAAATGTATCTGTGAAGGTGGTGGGATGGAGAGAAAAGCCTCTCCTGATTATCTTAACACCTGAGCAGGCTCATAATGGGAGACATGGTGCTTCAGGTAGCTTGGACTCAATCAGTTTAGGGATTCATTTTGAATTCTGCCTGTAATTAGATTGGTAGCCAGTGGATCTGCCGTAACCAGGGGTGGTGGTGGTGGTATGTGATTCCTGTATCCAGCTCCAGTTAGCAATCTGGCTGCTACATTTTGGACCGCCGAAATGTCTTGACACTTTCTATAGGTAGTCCCATGTAGAATGCAGCACTGAAGGAGATAATTTGTCAAAAAGAAAACAAAATAATATGCAGCAGCACTATATGTAAAGAATGTGTATTTATGTGAATATACAGTATCCATGACTTGAAACATGGGGCCAGAAGAAGAGCACAGGATAAAAATCAAAGTAGGCAAGAAACAACATGCTACAGACCTATAAGCCAGTTGTATGGAGTTTTCCCTACATCAAATTACCAAACAGCCAAATAAGATGTATAATAATAGCAGTGGTGTAATAGAACCAGGGGCCACATAACTGAAACTCCAGAACTTTCTGAGTAGGAGAGATTAAGGTATCATGCAACACCCCACTGAGGCTTTCCTATTTCCTCTCAATTTAGCTAAAACCCTAACAGAATCTGGGAGAGAATGGCTTATCCCGGAAACAGAACATTGTTGCAAACTAAATGTGTTGTAATGTAACTTATTTGAGAGTGGTTTGGTCTTGAATGGGCAATTAATAGCCATTAGCTTTACAAAAGACATGCTTCTTATTTGTTGCTTTAAACTGATTGTTGAAAAATCAACATGACAATTGCTTTGTGTCTGGATGAGGAATGTTTAACTGATGAAAAAATAAATTCAGCTTCTGGGATTTTCCCTTGCTCCATGTCTCTTTGTGAATTATAGTGAGCACAAGAGAGTATCTCATAGACCACCTTGACTGCTGCCCTTGGTGTTGTCAACATTCAGGCTACCCTTTGTTATGTAAAACCTGGCATGTTTGTTCATGCTGGCAAAAAGGGCATGATGTTGTGCAGCAATATTGGGTCATTTTCTGGTGTTTTGAATCATGGATACAGAAGCACAGTATCTCGCAATCATAAACTGGAGGTGTTTTGAATAATTAAATTTTATGTATTTCCACAGGAAATCCTAGTTGGGATTACCACTGGATCTAACTATTTTGCTAGGTAAGGCCCATTTTTATCCTGACTTATGGATGAAAACTAAACATAAAGATAGTTTTTTGGTTAAATGTCTAAGAATTCTGCTGCTGTGCAAACAGTGAAAAACATTATGGAGCTGAATCAGTGTTTATTTTTAGTCCTGCCTTTTTATTTAGACTATACTTGAAGATACTTTGTACAATTAAATGCAGATATTGATGACTTCCGTTAGTTTCACTTTCACCCATTATACAGTTCTTGTTTTTCATGTTCTGAACAATAACATGCATGTTCTCTGGCCTCTCTTTGTCAATCATGGGTAATAATTCACATTATCTTTAATATCAGTGCAATGAAATATGATAAGGGTGGGTGCTATAATGGAACAGCTGAATAAAGTTCAAAGACCAAGTTACTGGCTCACAAATGAGATCTCAAGCAAAGTTTTTGTTTAACACATGAAGGAATAACATTTTGTGACAAATGTGCATATATTGTCATAGTGTCTTTATAAATAAATAAACATTACCAGTTATGACCAGCAAGCAGTATTTCGGGGAAAACATATTTGAAACATGGTCAGAGTGAGGGGAAAAAAGAAGGGGATTTGGAGAATGACATTAAGTTTTGAAGGGTCATGGCAATGTTTTGTGAAGACAAATATGTTGCTGACACCCAAAATCATCTTCAGAAGCTCTGGCTTCCTTGGTTTATCAGTTAGACTTTTCATATTTCTTGACAACCCTGATAGGGTTGATACAACTTGGAAGTGACTTGACAGCAGATAACAGCATCAAGCTGTCTATAGAGGAGAAGAATTCTAAGCATATACGTAGAGTGCAACATCCTCATTTCTTCCCATGTCCAGCTTTGTGTCTGGCAAGAACAGGTATAATCATACAGAGAGAAAGAAGAGGGTCACTTAGCAAGGGTACAAAGGAAATCTACTAATTCTTTTCCAGATCAGCAGCAAAAGAGCTACAGCAGGGGTAGGAATCCTTTGGCCCTCCAGATATTTCAGACTTCAACTTTAATTCAATTCCCCACTGTGCCTCCTGTGAATACAGCCAGCCTGTGTGGTCTTGGGTGAGCTGCACAGTCCCAGGGCACCCCCAGAAGAAGGGAATGGTAAAACACATCTGAGTATTCTCTAACTGGAAAACCCTGAAAAGGGTAATCATAAGGCAGAATTGACAGCACAAGATTATTATTTTAAGCCCCACCAGCTTAGCCAATGTAAAAGGAATGTGACTCATCCAAAATATGGCCTAAAGGCTCCTCAAGAGTAGAAATTGGAATAGTGTTTGAAATTTGCTGGGGCATACTCTTTCCTTCTCCAAAACCTACAGTTGGGAAGGACACTTCACTGTTGTGTCCCAACAACCTTCCTTATTTATGCGTTTAAGAACCACCAACCCCAGGGAATCCCAAATTTCTGGGTGAGTCATTGTGCTGAGTCATCTTCTTTGTGGAATGGAAGCATGCCCAGTAGAGTGGTTCAAAATGAGCTGTCCTGTGTAATCTGCTGAAAGAGTGGAAAATTTGTAGTATCTCTGTACAAAGAACAACTAAATTATTCAGTTACAGAGCCTGGAAATTTTAATTTTTTGGTCCACAACTCTAAGAATGACTCAGCCACTGGTTGACTGAGGGATTCTGGATATGGGGTCCAAAAAACCACCACCATCACCACCAACTCAAAACCCAAAACCAAAACATTCCTAACCTCTTTCCAGAGGCACCTGATGCAACAGATTCATGCAGTCCAGTGTATTCTGGCCAGAAGCAAGGAAGGGCAAAGCAGTGAATCAGACAAAGAGGCATGTGCCTCTCCTGTGAGTTGGTTATTTTAGTTTGCAGTTGCTATAAAAGGTACAGTATTGTGGCTTTCTCTGCATAAACCTGTGTATCACTGGATTAGAGTGTAGGGTTTCTTTCAAAATCTATAGCACCAAGGACAGCTCCTTTCCTACTAACACGTAAGAGGAAGAGCATCAGAAGTATTTATAGATCAGCATGTAATTGTTGATTGATGTAAAATTGATACTTTTCCTTCCCTGACTTACTAGGCCAATATTTTATAGCAAAGGCTGGGGAGAGTGATAAGCATCATTAATCAATATATATTTTAAAAAGGACTTTAAGTCTAACAAATTTATTTCAGTGTAAGTGTTTGTGCACTACAATCCATTTCAGACACACAGAATTCAATACTGAGGCCGCAGGTTTATATGCACAGTGCACTTGTTTGTGGGGAAGAGAAAAGACTGATATGGGATGCAAAAGGTGACAACTGCACTATTAACAGTGCTGATGAACTTTCAAAATGTTGATAAAATAAATGTCCTGGCAATAAGTACAGTGGACCCTTGACTTACAGACGGCTTGACTTACAGACTTTTTGAGTTACAGACTTCTCTGGCCGCAAAATTTAGGTTTGACTTGCAGACTGAGATTTGACTTACAGACCAGAAAAAAACCAAAATGGAACAAAAACGGCCTGTTACGGGATTAATCGGTTTTCAATGCACTGTAGGTCAATGGAGACTTGACTTACAGACTTTTTGACTTGAGACCCGCCTTCCAATACGGATTAAGTTCTCAAGTCAAGACCCCACTGTATTGTAATTTGTTAATGCAAAACATCAGACAGGTAATCCACAAAGATTAGGTTTTGATTATAAAAATGCTCAAGCAATGAAGTCTCATTGAGAAAAAATGCCTCTTCTAGCAATTTCAAAGTTCAGGGATTCTGGCCATTCCAGTCCAAGAATAGCAGGGGACTCAGGATGTCTGATTAGGAGTGTGCAGACCCATATACAGATTACCAATGAGTTTGCAAACCTCCCTGGATTAATTTGATCCACTGTCCCTAACACCCCTTACAAGGTTATCCTCCAGATACAAGTGGTGTTAAGATACCAGAGTGTTGTCCAGATACAATGGAGGCAGAGCCATCCATGCTGCTCTGACCAATTTTTGAAAAAGAATGGGATATAAATTTAATTATACATGGAAAAGAGTAAATCCAAAATGCTCAAAATTGGATCATAATTATTCACAATGGAAAGCTGCTGTTTTCCATTCCGTTTACTCTGCACATACCCGAAGTTACTCTCTTCATATGTTTGCATGCCATGATACTAAGAACACGGCTCAGAGGGCTCAGACTTGTTTTCATTCTATAGTGAGTCTTATGGGGATTTAAGATTGCCAAAATATTACATCCTTCTCAGTTATGTAATGCTGAACAGTGGCATTTTTGGCTGGACATTGTGTCTTCATCCCTTCTTCAGTTCAGAGAGGTGGCAGCCATTTTGGAGAGGTGGCAGCTATTTTGAGAGGCAGCAGCCATGTGGTCCATCTCAAAATGGCTGCCACCTCTCTGCTGCTTCTCGACGGCCAGCTGTTCGGTGCTAGAGTCCAGCTGTTCCTGGGCTACCAAGGAGGAGTGGGGCTCGGTCTACTCAGTCTTACTACCAGGTAAGTGACTTTTCTCTGACTTTTCCCCCCATAGGAACACATTAATTAAATTTCAATTCATTCCTATGGGAAAACTTGCTTCGCAAAACAAAAAATACTGCAAGATGGTCTGTCTTGTGAGGCATCAAAAAACTCACAAGACCCATTCGTCTTGCGATTTTTTCATCCCACGAGGCGTTCGCCTTGCAAGGCACCACTGTACTTTGATAAGAGAATCATTAAAGGGAAAGGGAAAGGTTCCCCTTGACAATTTGTCCAGTCGTGTCCGACTCTAGGGGGCGGTGCTCATCTCTGTTTCCAACACATAGAGCTATCCAACACATAGAGCTAATCCTCTGTGGTCACGTGGCCAGCATGACTAGACATGGAATGTATCTACTCACATTTTTGCATTTTGCATGCTTTTGAACCACTAGATTGGCAGGAGCTAGGACAAGCGCCGGGGGCTCACTCCATCATGTGGATTCGATCTTACGACTGCAGGTCTTCTGACCTAGCAGCACAGAAGTTTCAGTGGTTTAACCCGCAGCACCGCCACATCCCTAGTAAACACAATTAGAGAAGATACCAAAATAAAAGGAATAGGGAATAAAAATAAAATTAAGATAAATTTATTTGCAGATTGTAAGTTATAAACAATTGAAGATCCAAAGAATTATGTAGAAAATATTAAATGACATTTAAAAGTCTTTAAAGAAGTAACAAGGCTAAGGGTAAACTGGAGTAAATCAGAATTTATTCTAGCAAATTATGATAATGAAGAATAAATTGAAAGAGATATTTGAGGATAAGTTAAAATAGTATTAGATATTTAGGGATAAATATTACCTGGACTTTACAAGAAATTATTAACATGAATTTGAATAAAGTGAAAAAACAAATTTAGGAACAAATAAAACTATCAAAGGTTGAAGTTATTTTGGTTTGGAAGAATAGCAGTAGAAAAAATGAAGATAATCCTTAAATTAAATTTTGTATTCTAATGAAAATAAAAGGGCAAGGATAAATAAAATTATGGTATCTTCCTCAAAAGAATTGAGGTTTGGATATGCCTGATAACAACTTATATTATGTAGCTCATAAATAGAGACATATACCAGAAATTATAGTAAACAGTAAGACACATGTGGTGGAATTACACTGTTTCCCAAATAATCTGGGGGGGGGGAATTAAATAAGGTTTTGACAGAACAGAAAGCTATAAAATTAAAGATTGGATTAAGAAGATGTATAATACAGAGAGAGAAAAAAGAGATATTAGGAGAAGAAGGCATTACCTGGTTGAATGTAAGACAGCTGGATAACTGGACTAAGGGAATGGCAAAAAGAGAGAGAGAGAGAAAAGAAAAGACAAAAGGGGAAGGGGAATGTAGGGGAATGACTAAATTTGAAGAAACTATTGAAAAGAGGGGAGAGCTGGAGGATAATCAAAGAAAAAGGATAATAAGTGTAATATATAAGATAATAAAGGATGCATATAAAATAAAAGCTTTGAAAGAGATATGACATGGAGATTTAAATAATTAGTGGAGAAGTATGGAAGATTATCTGGGGAGAAGGAATAATGAAAAATATGTCAGTTAGGGTAAGGGGAAATTGTTATAAAGTAATATAGAGGTGGTATTTAACACCAACAAAACTGAATAAAATGAATAAAGTGATACCATCTCTATGTTGGAACTGTGGACATGAGAAGAGAGACTGAAGGAATGAATTATTTTATTCAATGAGATTAAAGAAATTCTAGGGATAGATATACAAAGATGTCCAATGATATCATTGTTAAATATATTTGGAAACAGTAAATTAGATAGAAGAAAAATGGATTTTTAAAATGTTAACAGCAGCAAAATTGATATTTGCATGGAATGGGAAAAATAATAATCAACTGAGGTTGGAAGAATGGTATAATGAGATGTAGAATCTAGCTATTAATGATAAATCAATGTGTGAATTGAAAGTTAGAAAAGGATTATTGAATGGGATCTGGAACCCTTTTATAGAACATGTATTTACTAGATATAAAATTATACACCAACATAAGAATCATCATATTTTTGGAAAGAGGGCGTGTATTTACTAGATATAAAATTGTACACCAACATAAGAATCATCATATTTTTGGAAAGAGGGCACATGATGTAAATTAAGATTAAATGTATTGATGAAGATACACACACACACATATGTATACATATATATACACACATATATACACACACACACACACACATGTATGTATGTATGTATGTATGTATGTATGTATGTATGTATGTATGTATGCATATGAAGCAGCTTTAGGATGCAATCCTATACTGAAGGCATGCCAGGTGAGGCAGTAAAGCATTCATACACATTACTGCGCACTTTCACATTCTGGGAACTTAGAAAAGGGGAAAACCTGAAAAACCATTTTTGCCAGCCTTGCTTTAAAAAGAAAAGAAATATTTTGTGTGGGTGTATCTGCGTTTTATACTCACTCTCAAATCATATACCATCATGAATGCAGATAGAGTTGGATTCTGCTCCCCCACTAAACACATTTATTTGAAAGTAAGATGGAGCTGAATTCTGTTCTCCCACTAAACACCTTGTAGAAAATGATAAATCTCTTGAAGTGCAGTAAAATAAAATGGATACAGTATATGTAGACTAGCGATGTATAAACCCAGTTATCCATTCCCTGACTACAAATTTCTCAAAAACAAAAGAAAATAGAAGGGCAGGGTGCTCTGGCAAGCAGCATCAGCTTCATTTCAAGTTAGTCAAAGTGCTGGCCCTGAATCTATGCTCTACTGGCACCATAATTCACTACCTTTTGTAAGGTCATTAAGTGGCCACCTGTAGCTCTAACTGTACCACCAGTTCATAAGATTCAGTTAGGCCTATGAGTAAAGAAAAAAAGTTGTGGAATTTTGAGCACAGTTCCCAAAAACTGCCACACTAGCTGAAGGATTCTTGGAAATGAAGTTAAAAACAAACAAATCATAGCCTCAGGCTCTGGAAAACAAATGATGTTCACCAGAAACCTATATTAATAACAGGCGATAATAATGACACATTCCTCTCCAGGAACAGAAGAGTTAGATACCAAGAAATGTCATTTCTGAAATTGCTAAGTATTTTCTTAGAAACCGATTTCTCTTTTACTTTTGGGTTGGTGCTAGCTCACCACAGTGAAAGAGAAACTGCTTATAGAGGTGCTGTTTTACTGATTTATTGTGAGTTCTTGCCTGCCCTAATTATCGGAACAGCTTGGATGTCTGTAGCAGGGATGGGGAACCAGATGATCTTGGACTCCAGCTCTCTATAGCCCTGCCAACCTAGCAAGGATGATGGAAGTTGTAGTCTAGTAACAACAACTAGAAGGCCACAGGTTCCCCAACCCTGGTCTATATTTCTTCTTAAGAAGTCAGAATAAAAAAGGGAAAATATGTTTCTAAGATCTCCTGACCAACAGCAATAACAAACTCAAATTAGCTTGGCAGAGATGAAGAAAACAACAGAGTGGTGCAGGTCTTAATTGACAGAGGGTTCTATTTTGTCCCCTGTGCAGATGGCACTAAGGGTCATCCATAAATTGTCAACAATAATTGCAAAGATTGATATTGGGAATATGTGTGCCCCCCCGACCCCCAATGGTAGATTACAAGTTCCATCATCATTCACCACTGGCTAGGACTGGTAAGAACAATACATCATGAATTGCTAGAGGGCCACACATTGCCTACGTCTGCTGAAACAGGTCATCTGCTTCACTACATGTGCTTTGGTACAAGGGAACATCCCACCAGTCCCATTGCTTGCAGGGAGTTACCTCACTGCTCCATGGAAGGGTAGTAATACCATTTGGACTCTATAGGGGAAGCCTCTTAATAAACTGCCTTCCCATGGAGAACTGAGGCAACTCCCAACAAGCAGCACAACTGAGGAGACATTCCCTTCTGCTTCCCAAGCAAAGCACATGTAGTGAAGCTGATAGTGGAGGTCAGAAGACCTCTCAGTTGCCGTCTTCTTTCTCCTTTCTGGGTATCAAAAGCCTGCTTGGGGATTGTAGTTGACCTCTGGGGCTGGGTGTCCTGGAATTACAAAAATCTCATCCCTAATGGCTAGTTTAGGAAGTGATTTGGGGGAAGGGAGGGAGAGGTTGCATGGTTTACAAAGGTCTCTTTTCTTGCAGAGAAGAACAGCCAGAGGTTCAAGAGAAACAACTGGGGAAATGCCACTGCTGTGCTACAGCTGGAAAAAGTTGCACCACTTTACCTAAAGAGAAGGCAAACCTTTGCAGCAAATTTACAGAAGACTCTAACCTGCAATGATGAACTTAACTCCATTTCAAGTAGCTCAGCTACAGAGGAAATAACAGGAAGAACATGGTAGTTCATGTTAATCAGGTCAACTTTTAGGGTAGAAGGGCACACCAGACAAAAGGCCTGCGGACATGTGGAATGAACTAGCCTACAGATGTATGGACTGTGGAATGGATTACTGATGTGTGGAATGGCTTGCCTATGGAATGGCATTGAGGAAATAGTAGGAACACACACAGAGAGGATTTTAATCAGGTCAGGAGCTGACAGTGTGAGGTCTGAACTGTATCTGCATGATGAACTTTAACTCCACATCTCTCAATAATTTTATTTTCCAGAGTTGACCTTCTGTCTTTATCAGCTTGCTTTCCATTTTTGGATCAGCAGCTAGGGAAGGATGCTGGGTGGTTGCTGCAAGCTATGTAATTAAGGGGCATCCCCTTTGACACAGGTTGGATGTCTTAAATTGGCCTGTTACATTGACATACTGGGTGGGCAGCTATATTCTTCATGTTCGCTGCTGTCTTGGCAGCCTTAATCTGATATAGTTGAAATAGTTGTATATTGATTCAAAAGCCCTACTTGGCACGAAAGAAAGCATTTGAGTCATAGGTATATTTGTATACAAGGAGTTCCCTGGCAATGAAATCTGCTAGAATTGGTAAGTGACTTTACAAGCAACCACCAGTGGAGCATAACAAGCAGGGACCTATTCTTTCTAGAATTTGGCATCATTTGGTTTCTATGGAAAAAGAAAACCTGAAGACTTTATACAATACAGTCCTTCCCTATTCATCGGTTTGTGGCTAATAATCCAAATATGGGTTAGGGAATACCTTTGTTGGACCACAAAACTATATGCAAGCTTTCTGAATCCTTCATCAGACCCTGGGCACTGCAGAGTTTATGGGGTAAGGGCAAAAGCTAGAAAAGTCCAACAGTCATCCTGGCTAGGTCTTGACATCATGGGATATGAAGTTTAATTACTGTTTCAGCATGGAGACTGCAGAATTGAAGAATCAGACTGAGGACTGATAGTGGTACGTTTCACCCCAGAGGATATAAAATAAGTAGTTTTTCTCTGGTCACTACAAAGGGCAGCCCAGTCATTCAGTGTAATCAATTGCCCTTTGTCATGAAATTTGAACTGAAACTTCATCTTAGGTAATGTAGTTGTTGCTGGCACATGAGTGTGTTACTATCAGACATGTCAATTCCATAATAAATACTTTCTCTTCACTTTAGCAGATGGACTTTGATACTAATTCCAAACATTTACAGTTCATAGACAGTTCATTTGTACATGTAAGTCATCACTACTTAATCCATGGTAAACGTAACTCTGACAGACACTGAATCACACACTGAAGGCAACCCTTCAATGTGTGATTCAGAAACTTCAGGGTATCTGATTCAAAGGTTTTGATCTAGGGAAGAGGACAAAGGCAGAATTGACTCATGAAATCTGATGCCTACAAGATAGAAACCCTGCAGCTACTTCTTTTTCTTTTGAGCAGAAAACTGTCATGATAAACAACTAATAATTTGGTGCCCTTTCCTGATTACCCCAACTCTCTTGCCTAAGGGGCTGTCTCACTCTGCCAAATAGGAGGGCCGGCCTGGAAAAAGGCTTGAGAAATCTGCACAGAAGGATTGTGCACACAGGCCACTCAAGTAAAGGGCACATTTATCAGCATCAACTCTAAACAAGGCAGTATTTGTGGAATGATTCTGATGAACTTTGCTTATCCAAAAGAGAAGGATATTAACAAAATGCTGTCTTTAAAATGATAGACCCGCTCTTTAAGAAAAAAAGTTCATGATGAATGTTCTGCTTGGAACTAATTCCTCCCATACAGTTTGAAACTGATTAATTCTAGAAATATTTAAAATGTCTGGCTCTAAGGCAAAACAAAAACAAAAAAGATTGGAATTTTTCTATGTATTTAAAATTTCACATATTAATAGCATCAGCATATTAATTGTATTGACATATTTCACATATTAATGTATTGACTTCAAAACATTCAGGTCTTTGTAAAATGGTATCTGAAATTACTAATGGAACCCTCCCCACACCCCATCCACTTCACTGTTTGAGGAGTTATATTTCTTAATAGAGCTGAATAACTGTATGGATAAAATCAACACAGGGCAAGCAATCTTTCCCTTACGTCTTTTGAAGGCAAATGGATTTGGCTTCCCTATTATACAAACCCATTTCACAATAAATGAATTAAGTTTGAAAGAAATACTGCTGCTCCTAAGGGAGAAAAATCACATACCATCTGAAATGTAGAATGATTACCTGTTTTGGTTTTCTCAGGTGTTCCCTAATCCTGTAAGTAAGGTGTGGAGGAAAAATTCCAGAGGTATTTCCTCCCATCCGGCATGGCGATGTATTAAGAAATGGCACTAACTGTTCTGTTGGACGTTAATGCAGTTTCTTTGCCAGGTTACCAAAGGTGAGAGGGGCCCATGCCAACCACTTAGCAACACTACTCTGATTATCCTGGTGTGTTTAAAATATTAATCCTAACTGAGACCCTAACCCTTGCCCTACTCTCAACCCCAATTTAGAACGTGATCCTAATCCTAACCTTAAAAGTAATCCTAACCCAGACTCTAATCCTGACCCCAACCCTAATTCTAATCCTAACCTTCACCTTCTTGGAGATCATGAATCACAGGCTGGGAGCCTGTGAACTAAAGAGAGGAACATGGAGATATCAGCTTTCTACCAGATCTCATCTATTGGATTGCCTCCCTTCGAATTATACATATAAAATCACTCCACGCTGATGTTCCAGCAAATAGCCTGTTCCACTCCCTACCACACCTGCTTTCTCCTTGATTAGTAGTTGCCTCCACCACCACTGCTACACACACATGCCTGTTGGCCCTACCAGGTGGCATTGTTCCCCCCCCTCTTTTACCACCACCACTGCTGTGTGCTTTCTTAGAATTCCCCAGCCCTGCTTTCTCCTGCTTCTTGCATTACCCGAAAACAAATGGAAAACCCCAAACAAAATGATTTGAAAGAGGTGCTTCCTTTCATGATAAACTAAAGGACCAGTACCCGGGGGGGGGGGGGGGGAAAGATATCTAAAGAGCCCTGAAAAGAAAACAAACCAAAACAGAACTGAACATTTCCACTGTACACATCCCAATGTATTTATGTATGTATATTTACATATGTGTGTTATGTACACCTCTGTTTTATCCTGTTACTTTTAATTCTGTTTTATGCTTTTGAATTTCACAGTTTACCAGGTTTTGACAAAAGCAGTCAAATTATTTGGACTTGCGAGGCAGGAAATCCTACGCAGCACAAATTAACAAATGGCAAAGCAAATAATTGACAGTGTACGTCCATTGTGATACCCAGAATCTGCTGTCTGAGGCACCTGCTTCTCTTTGCCCAATGGCAGGCGGTCCAACTGCTGTTAAAGTGAAGATGCAATTATGGTGCAATACCAGAAAATCTGACTTGCACCTCTTTGGGATAAGATTTTTATCCCTGTGGTTTAAATCCAGTTGGTAGTCCCATTTAGGCTGGTCTCAGTTGCCCGTATCTGGTTGATGAAACTTCTTCTGCACAAACTAGACATCATCATCAGGTGATCAGGATATTTAATTTACATTAATTGAAAGCAGCTGGCTGACCAACCGCACTCAACTAAAATGGAACCACATATACATGGAGGGAAGTGTACATTGGAGTCCCTCAAGGTTCTGTCTTGGGCCCAGTGCTCTTCAACATCTTCCTAAACGACCTGGATGATGGGATTGAAGGAGCACTCATCAAATTTGCTGATGACACAAAGCTGGGGGGAATTGCCAACATTCAGAAGGATCTAGATAGACTTGAACATTGGGCCCTATCCAATAAGATGCAGTTCAGTGGTGGGAAAAGTAAGGTTCTGCACTTAGGCAGGAGAAACCAGATGCACAGGTACAGGATAAGTAGTACCTGGCATGACAGTAGTATCTGTGAAAGGGATTTAGGTGTTCTGGTGGACCACTGCCTAAGGATGAGTCAGCAGTGTGCTTCCAAGAAAGCCAACACAGTCCTAGCCTGCCTCAACAGGAGGATAACATCAAGATCACGGGAAGTGATAGTATCACTCTATACCGCACTGGTGAGGCTGCACTTGGAGTGTTGTGTGCAGTTCTGGTCACCACAATACAAAAAAGATGCTGAGGCCCTGGAAGGGGTGCAGAGAAGAGCAACAAAGATGATAAGGGGACTGGATGCTAAATCCTATGAAGAATGACTAAAAGAACTAGGTATGTTTAGCTTAACGAAGAGAAGACTGAGGGGAGACATGATAGCAGTCTTCCGATATCTGAAGGATTGCCACAGGGAAGAGGGCATCAATTTATTCTCCATTGCACCTGAGGATAGGACAAGAACCAATGGGTGGAAACTCGTCACAGGGAAATCCAAACTAGAATTAAGGAGGAATTTCCTGATGGTGAGAACCATTAAGCAGTGGAAGTTCTTGCCTCCTGATGTTGTGGGTGCCCCATCGCTGGAGGTTTTCAAGAAAAGATTGGACAGCCATCTGTCCGGGATGGTATGAGGTCTCCTGCCTTGGGTAGGGGGTTGGACTAGAAGACCTCCAAAGTCCCTTCCAACCCTACGATGATTCTATGATTCTATGCAAGTTTCCTGTAGCCCCCTTCCATTTCCCTTTTCCCCTTGGGAAGCTCAGAGGTCCCAGAACTGGGGAAGGTAAGTCTGCTAGTGGTATCAAAACAGGCAGCAGCAACCCAGAAGCGGTTTTGGGCTATTAAAGTTTTCCCCCTCATCCAGAAGCTCCCAAAGTTTTCCCTGGGGCAAAAGGGAGCCCCGAGGAACTTCAGAACCTGAAGGGGAGGGAGAAAGCTTTCAGTTATTTATCCTGGTCACAGGATGATGATGTCATCCTACTTGCATGGTGTAAAGTTTCAGAAGAGAATTTTGGCCAGTGACTCAGCACATCATACATATTGACCTACTAGTTCCCATTGATTAAGTGAGTCTATATTTGGGAATAGTAATAGGATGTAGGCCTCAGTCCCCGGGGGCTGGATGTAATCCAAGGGTATGTACACACAGGAGAGTTGCATATGCTGCCTGGCCTTGGCTTGCTATTCTTCCTACTGACTTTCTAAGTTTTAAAAAGCAGAAGTCAATTCTAAGGTTGGATTTTCCAAACGGGGAAGTGTCCATGTAAAAATGGCAATTCAATTTTTCAAAAAACAAAACCCCCTCCTATTTATGAATGTGGGATATTGTGTTTCTGTATCCATGACTCAAAACACCAGGAAATTGTCTGATATTGCTGCATAATATTGTGCCCATGTTGCCAGCAGGAAAAAGGAGCCCAGAGAACCTGTTAAAAAACAGCCTCAACAATTGCTTTGTGTTTGGGTGAGAAATGGATAACTGATGAAAAGAGGTTTCTGGAATTTCCCCCTGCCTCGTGTCCCTTTGTGAATTGTGATAAGACAGCATAAGAGGGGATCCTGTAGACCAGTGGTCCCCAACCTTTTCCCAGCCTCAGACTGGTTGTGAGGGGCATGTTGCGCTCGCAGGAGATGTGTTGTGCTTGCGGGGTGTGTGTGATGCTCACATTCATGTGCGTGGGAGGCATGTCGTGCTCGCAGGGGGCGTATCGTGCTCGTGGGGGTGCATTGTGCTTGCAGGGGCGTGTCCTGTTCGCACGCATGCATGTGGGGCGTGTCACACTCACAGGAGGCAGAGTGTGCTTGCACGCATGCGTGGGGCGTGCTCGCAGGGGTGCGCTTGCGGGAGGGAGGATATCTGTGTCTGTGGCCCAGTCCTGCCTAGCCCGGGGACTGCTGCCGGGTTGTGGACCGGGGGTTGGGGACCCCTGCTGTAGACCATATTGACTGCTGATATTGCTGTTGTCAACACTATGTAAAGCTTTTTCCTGCTGGCAGCATGATATTGTGCAGCAATACTGGGCCATTTCCTGGGGTCTTGAACTGTGGATACACAATCAGAATATCCCACTATATGTTTGCTACAATTGTGCCAAATTATCTAAAGTCCAGTTTCAAAGTTATATATATATTTGTTTGGGCTGCCTCCATTTTTAGAATTGCCTTGTAGAGTGTTGCTTTCCTTTGCTGCATAATAATGAAATGGTTCATGAATTTCTATAATAATTTGAACCAATACATTGCTTTCCATATATCTACT